TAATATATTTTTCCGGTCCTGACATTATATATATAGAGAGTTTTTTCTATATATATATATATATATATATATATATATATTTATTTATTTTTTTTTTTTTTATCAACTAACTTTATCAATGACTAATATCTATTGATTACTTTTAGTGAAATTTTCTTTCCAAATCATATTTTCTTTATCCATATAACTTGAATTTGAGACTGCATAAAGAGATCAAGTCTAACTCTAATTCTACTAACGACCTGGTGGTGGATGTATTTTGTGCAATGTGTTGACTATTCAGAAGTGAATAGGTGTTGTTTAGCTTCCCAAAATGTGACGGACATTGTGAAGAGTGACTGTTCAGAATCAGAAGTGAATGAGGGCTCCACAAATGCACAAAAGGCTACCTACAAAGGGAACCAAAAGAAAGATTGCGAGGCTGCACCAATGTATGGACAATTTTGAGAAGATTGTAGCTGCAACAACTCCAAAGCAGGCTTAAGAAATCATGGAGAAGTGTTGTACGAGTGTTGATCAACTAAAGAAATTTAGACTTCAAAAATTGAGAAGGCACTGAGAGTTGTTGCATGTGGAGAATGGGAAGATCGCAAATTATTTTACAAGGTGACAGACCTTGCAAATTTGATGAAAAGTTTTGATGAGAATATATCAAATGTGATGATTGTAGAGAAACAACTTTCACTCATAGATTTGATTATATTGTGGGGAATCTTAAAGGTGTAAGAGATACTTGTTGATAAGGCCTTGCAAACCCAAGTATTAAGAAAAAGGTGGTGTTCATAAACAACTTTGGTGGTGGCAATTTTCGTGGTCAAGATCAATTCAATACTGATCAAGATCAACTTGAAAGTTTAGCAAGAGTGGCCTGAAATAGAATACAAATGGCAGAAAGAAATTTAACAAGAAGGTGCAATGTTTCAATTGCAACAAGTTTGGTAACTTGGTAGATGAATGTAACAAGGAGAAAACACATGTCAAGATGGTGACTCAGATTCAAATCCAGTTCTATTCACCATGACAACTAATAATGATATCGATCATTCTAAAACTTTGTATCGGGAATCTGGCTACTTTAATCACATCACCAGTCATAAAGAATTAGATTTGCAGATAACAAAAACCATGAATACCAATATGAATGAATCATGAAACTAGATTAATTTAGTCTCTAAAATTATAATAATCGGTTAAATTGGTCTCTAAAACCAATAATGATAAAAATAATTATAAAAAAAAGTGTATATCATGATATTATCAATCAATTTAATCTTTAAAATTCTAATAGACAATCGAATTAATGCTTGAAATAAATAAAATAACCCTTAAAATTGCAAATGTTTGAAATTCTTACTTACGTGGTTGTTAAGGAACACGTACAGTCCTAGATATAAGGCTACAAAAGAAAACACAAAGAGGATTGAATGTGAACTATCATATAAATATATATATATAAAAGTACAAATTCAAATAACCCAAAATTTAAAAAACGAGGCAAAAAACCTTGAATCTAAATACCTTAACTTTAATGAAGAAAAGAGTAAAATGAAAATATAACAAATTACATGATAGATTACAACATCATCTCAATCCTCGATTGTAAGAGATAAATTGACTACTTACTTCAAATTTATTTTAATTAGGCATCTAATTATGCAAATAGCCTTTATTTTGTAAAAAACTTAATTTAAAAATTATCCTTATTTTGAGTCAAAATAGAATAATTAAATTAGATGAAAGATAGTTACTATAAAAAAAATAAAAATAATGCTCAAATGTGTAAAACTTTCCCGCCTAGGCTACCTTACTTTTATTAATATAAAGATAAAGATTCGTAAAATTATAAAGTAATATAGCAACATATTAAAATTTATAATAACATCGAAATTTCTAGATAGTAAACTTAATTCTCGTACAAAGCATGAGGATATTACCTTAATGTAATAAAACATTTTTTTATGATAAGTTATTGTAAAAAAAATAGATTATATATATATATATATATATATATATATACATATATTAAAA